CCCCCCCCCCTCCCCCCTTGTAATGCACCGTAACACTGGCTGAAGCCCATCCCCCTTCCCCAATCAGTGCGTCACGTAATACTTGAACGGTCCCTTATTGAACTTTTGCTTCATTTTCACCGACAGTGGAAGTCCTCTTATCAAACAGTTTTTTTGCAAGAAAATCCCACTTTTTTAATTTTTTGGACCTTCTTTTGAATGGACCTGATTCGCGTTATCAGTTTCAATCAATTGGACGTATTTCTGTCAAACGGAACTACGTGTATTATGGCATGAGCCCTCTACATCCTATACCCCTCATGAGGCATCTACCCTCCGTGGAGAGGGGCTCAGAAAATTTTGGCAAAGCAGCACAAGTTTACGCTATTTTCAGGTTCAAAGTTTATTAAGCGCACAGAGTAGAATTTAAACGTATTGAAGTAACTGACCGACTTCTGAAATTTAAAAAAACGTAAAAAACTAAAGCCACTAGACGCATCCAAGCACCATTATTTCCAAAAGAACCGAGCCAGTGCTGCGGTTTACACGAGCTTAAGACGTGGGTCTGGAAATCCACCTTGAAAAAAAAATCAGACAAGAACCTGAAAAACGAAGAAAGAAAGAGTATCAACACAACCAAAGACAGGAAAGACGTATTCGGGCCTCTTTTTTTAACTTCACTCCCGAATCTGAGCAACACCTCATTGGCAGCATATAGCAGAGCATTGAGAGCTTACGCTTCGCGTCATGGCGCCTTCAATTTTTCAGATACAGCACGGACGTCCATCAAGTACGAATAGTTGTATCTCTGCGTCGTCGTAAACGCGCATCCTTTCCCTGCCTCTATTCCCATATTGTGTTTGTTTCCGTTTGTCTTATTCGTATTGGTGCTTCAAGCACTACGTGAGTAACACAGCCGAGGGTAGGAGGGATGTGTTCGGGCCTCATTTATAACTTTTTTCCCGAATCTGAGCAACAGTCAACACCTCATTGGCAGCATATAGCAGAGCATTGAGACCTCACGCTTCGCGTCATGGCGCCTTCAATTTTTCAGATACAGCACGGACGTCCATCAAGTACGAATAGTTGTATCTATGCGCCGTCGTAAACGCGCATCCTTTCCCTACCTCTATTTCCATAATGTGTTTGTTTCCTTTTATTTTTTCCTAATGGTTCTTCAAACTAGTAGCATAGAACAGAGCATTGCGAGTTCACGACTCACGCCATCGCGTCTTACATTTTTCATATGCAATGTGAACATCCATCTTGCGCGGATACTTGTATCCGGTTTACACTTTGGAAGCCTCTTATTTTTTAATTTCGAGATAATTAAGGTTAAGTTTGCCCGAGATATGCTATGGTATGTCCAATTCAATAGACATTTTGAAAAGAAAGCAACATGTTTAAAGGTCTCTCAAGAGGTCTTTAAAGAGTGTGTATGTCTAAAAATCGAACCGACCATCGCTTTTAAGGAAGTTACACATAGCGGATGAAGGAGGGGGATGATAAAGCGCCTGTATGTCAACAAAAAGGTGAAAATTTTACCGAAAAGTGTTTACATTTCAGAAAGTACTTATTGAACCTCTATTCACCACTATCATGCGTAAAACCACCTTTCTTCACTCCTAACTCTCTCTTTTTCCGTTCACTTAAGAAATTTCCCGCATACATTCTCGGTCTAAACTTTTTTCTCCTCTTATTTGCTATCTGTCAGAAGGGCGCGTGTCTGCCAATGGCAGATCGGCATTATGGCCAGTCCGAGCCTGTTTTAATCACTCATTATTTCCGCGAATTTCGGCAAATTGTGTCACCGAAGCCGTAAAAAATTAAAAAATGTAAAACACTCCCGAATTTTAATGAAATAAATTTTATACCTGTATTTTCTGAGCGAAGACCGGAGCTGGGTCTCCGCGCACACGGCATCGCCAGTCGCCGCACACTAGTCCCAGGAGTGCTGGACAAAACAGCCTCAAAAAGCGACTTCATCGGCGCTCCAGAACATTGCGACTCTACTCTGCCGTGCTGAGGAAGAACGCCGTATGAACCCTCAGACGTTGCCAAGTTTCCTCCGATAAAAGCAGAATTTACTTGAAAAATTGTGAATATTATTTTCCCGAATTTTTTTTTACAATTTTGCACGCAATTTAATCTAAAATATCTGAAAATTTCGAAGAAAAATATGCATGAATGCCGTCAAAAATACATATTTTATCTAGGGAAATTTGGCAGCTCTCGAATGTTGATACGGCGTTCTTCCTTAGCACGGCACACAGTGGATCGAGTCAATCAGAGAGGTCGAACATGAAATTTTTTACTAAAACTGAGAATTTTAATGTTTATTTCGTCATATTTTAAATATTGTGAGAAGCTTCTTGAAGCAAATTTCACGAGAAAACCAACGGAGCCAAATTTAGAACCTCAAAGTTGTGTGTAAATGGAAGAATAAGCTTTGAAAGTTTCCATATTTTGTCCAACCTCTCCAATTAACTCGATCCACTGTGCGGCAGTATTGTATTCTATGCGCGTACTCTCACGTACGATGTTTTAAGCGTATTCTTTAACCTTCGTCAGGTCGCGGCAAGCCTGGCAGTTTGCTGCCGAGCTGAGGGCCCGAACGCAACAGGGAAGCAAGACGAGGTGGGCGTCCCCCCAAAATCGCCACCCCTCCAGAACTTCTTCCAAACGAACCACCAGCCTCTGTCCTTCTCCTACTTCGACCGAGCCGCACCCGCACCGTCAGCGACCATCCCAGCATCTCCGAAGCCCGCGGTGCTGCCCCGCCCGGACTCCATCAACGGGACTCCCTTCGCGTCAGCCACCACGATGGACTCCGTCATGCAAGGGATCAGGGACCTGAAACTAACGATCGCCGAGATGGAAGATAAGCTGGATCGCGTCGTCCAGAAGGTCGCGCCTGGCCCCGGGGGCAAGTCTCTCATGAACAAGGGTGCCGATCTCTTCAGGAAGTTCCTGCGTCTGTCCACTCCTGGGGAGGAGAACGAAGAACCGGTCCGACTCGAGAGGGCTATGAACAGCATGCAGACCAGGGGCCCCAGGGGGGTTGGCTTGTCCTATCACTGAGCGCTCCACGGACGCCTGCGCTGCCGTGCAGTGGCGTGGCGTGAATTGCGATGTATCGATTGTTATGTCATTTAAACCTATGGTAAAGAATCGATTATTAAGGTGTTCGCAGCGAACACCCTGTTTATCGATCCTTTTCCATAGGTTTAAATGGCATAACAATCGATACATCGCAAAGCACGCCACGCCACTGCTGCCGTGCTGAGGAAAAACGCCTTATGAACCTCCACACCATAGAGAAAAAAAGGAGGTGTTTGCACCTTGAGGTTTGTTTACCCTGTGACGTAGGTTGGTACAATCTGGCCAGCGAAATCCGGAATTCGAAGTATGAAAAACTGACTATAATGTCAGATTTTTTTTGCTGAAATCAACTCATGATATAATTTCAAGCATTTTTTAAAGAATGATTTTTTTCCCTTAAATTACACCATTTCCAAGAAAATCGATGATAAAACTCGTCGTACCGACCTGCGTCATCAAAAAAAGTCCAAGATGCCCGAAATGTAAACGTTTCCTTTTTTTCTCTATACCTCCAGGCGTTGTCAAATATCCTTAGGTAAAACACGAATTTCCTGGTAAACAAATGAAGCTTTTTCTTCCAATTTTCTCATGTAATTTTGTTCGCGATTTCACCTAAAGTTCCTGAAAATTTCAAGGAAAAGTATTCATGACTTGCCTCAAAAATACAAATTTTATCGAAGGATATTTGGCAACTCTCGAATGTTCGCACGGCGTTCTTCCTTAGCACGGTAGTGCGAGAGCTACAATTTCGCACGTCAGCGGGCTAATTGTTGAAATTGATTGGCAAAGCTACACCAAAGAAGACAAGGGGAGTACAGAGCGATCCTGTTGGTTGAAATATGTGGTTTTCATAGACTAAGGGGGTAAATGATGGACCAACGATGGGATCTCTTGTAGATTGCCGTTTGTTAGTCTATCTCCTATGTCCGCATTTAACCGCACCCACTTCCACCAATAGGATCCCTCCATATCCCTTTTGTCTTCTTTTTCTACAGCAATGCCTTTCAGTTTTATGATCAGCCCGCGATTTTGTACACTTTCTATCGATTAAATAATTGCATTATGCATTTTGAGTTACAATTAGTCGATAACTTTCACAAAATTTGATAATTTGGCACAATTAGTCAAAGTTTGATCTTATTCTAAATACTAATTTTTGCTCAATTGTTCTCTGATAGATATTTCTCGAAACCGAGGCCGTGCGAAACTTTAGTCCTCGATTGTAGGCAGGATGACGAGATTCTATGAAATTCAAAACTGAGTAATTTCCCTTTGAAGAAAAACTATGGGAAAATATAAATTTAAGAAATATCTATGAAGTATTCTTACTATGTTATACGTTTTTGGGGGGTGCTTTCAGGACGCGGTGCATAAGTGCAGTTTTTGCTATCTTAAGAAATATAAGTTTAAAGTTCCAAACTTACAAGGAGTCTTATGGCGGAAAAAAGTTCAGACTAAGTTTCAGATGCTCAAAAATTCGATTTTATTGGTGAAAATTTCACCGAGTATATTTAGATACATTTTTATTTGAAATGATTAAACTTAATTTTTTCAAGAGCTGCGCGTATGCGACTTGTGTTCCAAGCCTCTCATTTAAGTTCCATAAAATATTTACTTTTTGACATTTTTGAATTCCTTTTGTAAACTTCATTTAAATACTTCAAAACGCTACATAAGAGTGTAGGTAGTGATTCCATGAGAGTATATTATAACAATGAAATAATCGAAAGATTTCTTTGAAAAAAAAAAGTTTTGTGAAATAAACTGTTATGAATCTAAATACATTTCTCTTTGGATTGAACATCATTGATTTCGAGTTACTTTCCTTAACAATCCGACTCAATCACTCTCCTTTCAGCATGCAAGTAACGGTGATCGTGCTAAGTTGCGATTCGAACGATGAACTATCGCGATTTTGTCATCTGCAATTTTTCGCTATAATTTGAAATCAAAAACAGCAATACTGCGATTACATCAGGATGCCGTTGTTATAGAATATTCACACATGCATATAAATACTCAGATCCACTACTAGAGTGCACTGAACACTATTTCGGCATTTTCATGCAGTTTGCTCAATTTTATTTTTTGGCGCGTATACGTAGTATACCGCCTTTGCGATCGTTTCGACCCCCCCCTCGATACAATAACCGAGTCCCCTAGTTCCTTACCGAAAAGTGACTACCGCGAACTTCTGAGATTTTCCAAAGCGTGTAAAAAGTTTACTAATCCGTCAATAATAATGATTAAAATTTGTTTCTCATTCTGGGGCTCGCTAGTTTATGTGTAATGAATACCAAGAGTCTACGTTTCTTGGTTTTTTTTTAAAAAAACCTTAGAATGGGGCGCGCTGATTTAAAATCTATATTATATCTATATTATACAGCTACAAGCCAAATCTTGGAAGCACTATTTCTGACGAACTGCCGGACCGATAAGGATGATCTTTACATGTATGTCATCTGTAGTAGATGTAGATGTGCAAAAAATTATGAAACCCCGAACTTTTAATGTTGTAGAGCTTTTAAAGCTCATGTCACTTAAGTCCAATGTTAATAGCGTAAGAGATATGTCGTTTCCGCTAGAAACGTCAACGTGTGGGATTCTACCTGAGTGACTCGAATAAACAATAAAACAATGGAAAAGCTCGTGAAGGGGTCCTCATTCGAAGAGTTGAGGAACGGTGCATCGCTCAGGGTTCAAGGTTCAAGGTCCAAGGTATAAGGTTTAACTCAATTTTTCCTGCATTCTTCCAGCTTCGATTTGTGGCATTGTTCAATTTACTTGATTGCTGAATTTCCATTAATATTTACAGCAGATAAACAGCAGATACAAAGTGAGAAGGCAGGCTACGCTGCGTCGCGTCGGGACGGACCAAATATTATTAACTCTTAAGGGTCGAAATCCGATTTTTTTTTTAAAATTAACTATTAAAATATAACATAATAAATGGAAATTTCTCCAGTAAATGGACTGTGAAATTATGTACATCCAGCTATTCCCAGGCTATTCCTCATCATTCACAAATTTGAGTGTTTTGTCAAAAATTTTAAAATCGATGCATAGCTCGAACACAAAATGGTGTATTAAAATGGAAGAACATTTTTGCCTACACATATGCGTAAAGAGCCCGCGAAGCGGGCCTGAGGGCGCGAGGCGCCCTCCCGGGGGTTGGGCCGCGTAGCGGTCAGGGGGCAGGGCCCCCTAGTATGCATATATAAGCGGAAGCAAGCGAACTGATTCGAGGATGGCTGACCAGTTCGGCACTCCTTGAATGAGAATTTCACTCACTCCGTTTTGTTCACAACGTTGCTTTGACATATCTCCACAACACTGTTATCCTTTTCAAAAGTTGGTACTCCTTGCTCTGATAGCCGGGGCCACCAGGATAGTGGTAAGTGCAATCTGTGATGAGCCTCGAGACTCATTAGACCATTTGCTAAACGTGGCTCATACAGGAGTCCACTAAGCCCTCTCGTCCCCACGCTCCTGATCACTGCGTCGGCGTCACGAAGAACAATGGGCCTTGGGTCCCAACGCGGCCGATACCCGTACCCCAATTACTCACGCTTCATTAACCATTTCACCGTCACGCTAGGATTCATCCAATTTTCAAAAAAAATTGTTTCGCATGTATTTAGCAATTTTTTCCTTACTCTCCGTTAAAACACAAATAAAAAGAGACCTCATTCATAAAAATCGGCCGAATAGAAGAGAAGTTACAGTAATCGAAATCCGAAGAAATCAACAAAACCTCGACTCCTCGATACGAAAAATAAAATGAAGGGGAAAAAAAGAAAGTATAAATTACAATTAAATATAATTNCACTTTCCTGAGGTACTTAGTACCATCAACGAAAGTATTTAACAGAAAAAAGCACTGAAAATAGAAAAGCATTAAAATACTTTATTGAATATAACGATTTTAGGTCTTTCAAGAAAATCGGGCAACCATCTAACTTCGTGATTCTTTTCGGTGCAAAATATACATTCTATCAAGTATTTTTATATATATTGGAGGGTTACATGCCGAAAAATGTAAATGATTCAGAGCAAACCATGAATAATCATTGTCTAAGCGTCGTTGGTGAAAGCACATCCGTGGAACACGAATAGTTTCATTAGGAGCCATAATCACCTCAGTGCAGTCTTCGTAAAACGGGAGCGCCTTCAATTTTTGAATATGTAACACGCGCATCCAACATACTGAAAATGAAACAAAAAAAAATTCTGGCCGCAGCCGGTTTTTTTTGCTGTACTGAATAATTTGAGTTTCCACCTTAAGGCTTTTTTTGCCTTATATTTTTAGCCTTTCGAGAACGATCATGTAACGAAACATTCTCAATTATTCAGTTTGCAAAATACATTTTATCTGAGAGACTTGTCACGCAAAATGATACAAAGCCTTGCGTGCCTCACCTTTTCGGGTCTTCATCAGTTTTTGTCAGTCAATAATACTGTTAGACGCAAAATGATTGACGCAAATCCGGTATTGCGTTTTAAAGTGTTCTTAGTATCTGTTTTCAGGTGCCTTAAAGGGTTGTACTACTGATGCATAGTTCAAAATGATGCTGATATTCATCAACATTGTAATGAATCAGAACTCCGCGTGTGCGTATTAAGAAAAGGGGGAAAAGAAAGGAAATTGAATTCATCAGGTTAAAACGGAATCTTTTTTTCTTTTTTTGCTTGGCTTTACGACTCAATTATTGAATCCAAACCAATTCTGCCGTGCCAAGGAAAAACGCCGTGTAAACCTTCAGGCGTTGCCGAATTTCCTTTGATAAAACTCGGATTTCCTAGAGAATTTCTGAATATTTCTCTGCCAAGTTTTCAGATAATTTTGTTCGCAATTTTACCTAAATTTCCAGAAAATTGCATGGAAAAATTTCCATAAGTTTTCTCAACAAAAATCATTTTACCGGAGGAAATTTGACAACTCTCGAATGTTCATACGGCGTTTTTCCTTAGCACGGCAGAATTGCAGTCACGCGAGCGTTTTGCGTTCTTCAAATTTTGTCACGCCCGACCATATGTCAGCAGAGAATGCCAGATTTCAAAGAAAAACTTAAAAAATAGGGTTGTATAATCCGAAAGTGTATGAAGTTTCAACCATTTTGTAACCCAGTCATTACTCTCGGCTTGAAATCAAATTTAAGTTTTCTATACCGCCAGTCGTGTACATTCTTTTTATCGAATCAGTCTGATGAACTCGAGAGGAGGATGCATCGTGATTCTGTCACTCGTAAGTCGCCATATTTTACTTATTTTGCAGATCGCCTCCGGTCTCCGGTCTCCAGGATCTTTTTGTTTCCTTCTTAATTCGCACATTATGCATAGCGAAAAAACGTCGATCACGGTAGCCAACAATTTCTATAAAGAGGTACATGGAAAAAACAATTTCAGAGCACTAACAGGGGCGTTAGGGTGCGGCTTATTTGGGAAAAGTCTGAAATGTTATGATGACACATCTTCAATCCAGGCGAACTGCCAGTGAGTTAGAATCACCTCTTCACATATGATAAAAGAATGTTTTTTGTTTGTTCTGAATAAAAGTGGGATCTACGTTGATACCACTATTTGACCGAGTGAGAGCCAGTGCTGCCTACACTAAAAGTAAGGGCAAACTGGCATGGCGTTAAAGCGACCTCTTCCTGACCTGGGTGTACCAGCGTTAAGATTGCATTACAAAGGGTGGGTGGTGTGTAAAAAAATAAAAAAAAGGCATTTTTTCAAAATCCACAGTCCGTCAAAGTGAGCTTTCCGTGTGATTTTGCTAAGAATCACCATTGGCCCCTTGCCCCCCCCCAAATTTTATCGTACCCCTTAATCGTTTGACGTGCATAAGGAGACCATAGATAGGTACTGAGAAATGTATGTATGAAAAGAAAGTATCGAAAACATCAATGTACTGGAAGGATTGAAATTTGGTCGTAATGTATCATTAAGCCATGGCGCCAAAGAGTCATTAAGGCTTCAGACAGCTAGAGTGAAACGAGACGATACGGCTCCGTGCCATTCACTAAGAGTCTCCTGTTGGTAGTTTTGTAGTTTTGCAGGGACGTGGAATGCATCCAGCACGTGGCCGGTCGCCGCACGGCGCACGCCACTGACCGCAATGCTAGAAGAGTAACTTCGTGAAGAGAGTATGAATGGACACCTGCGGGCTGATTGTTGAGATGGATCGACAAAACGATAGAAAAAAAGTCATGGGGAGTATGGAGCGATCCTATTTGTTAATTTGGGTGGTTTTTATGGACTAAGGGGGTAGATGATGGACTAACTGTAGGGACGTAGGGTCTATTCTGCCGTGCTAAGGAAGACCGCCGTATGAGCCTTCATACGTTACCATATCTTCTCCAATAAATAACGAATCTCCCGGGAATATTTTTAACGTTTTTCCTTAAATCTTTTAGACAATTTAATCTAAAATATCTGAAAATTTCAAGGAAAAATAAGCATAACTTTCCTAAAAAATACATGTTTTATCCGGAGAAATTTGGCAACTCTCGAATGTTCATACGGCGTTCTTCCTTAGCATGGCAGTATTTTAGATTGCCGATTGCCAGTCCATTACCAATCTCCTTTGTCCATTGCAACCACTCGATTCCACCAATAGGTGTCCTACATATCCTATTTGTCTTCTTTGTCTATAGCTTTGTCTATAAATTTCAACAATCAACCCTCGGGTCCCATGAAGATCCCGAAAAGCCAGGAAAATGGCGGCGATTTTGGAAAAGAGGGGGTCGTTACCAAATATTTGACAGCCCAAGTAGCAGTGATCGCGATAAGTTGCAATTTGATCGGATAATGTATCGTGATCTTGTCGACGTCGATTTATCGCAACATTATTCGTTGAAATATTGCGATTTTATCGACGGCAATTTATTGCAATATTACCGAACAAAATATCGTAAAAAATTGGGATAATATTTTGGGAAAATTTGGGAAGAACTGGACTATTCCCTTCAACGATAAACGTAATATTCTGATCATAATAAAAACATTTTGTATACTTGATTTTTTTCGTCAGTATTTTTTTCGCTTCCAACTCACTGAAAACTCACACGTGTTAATGATACTTCTTTTCTCTGTCTCTCTCCCACCACCTAAGCAGTTTTCGATCAGCGAGTAACTGTTAGATAGGTCAACGTTGTCTCCAAGCCGCAGGGATCCTTGTTTTCCATTTAGCTTACATTTTTACCCTAGCGTTTAAGTCTCTCTGTATATGTATGCAAAATTGCACATTCACCCCGGCGGCCCGCGCTTGCTGCTGCACAGCATCGTTGTTTCAGAAGGCCTTTGATGTCTTTCAGCACAAATTCGCGCAATCTGAGCAGCGTTGCAACATTTACCAGTCGTTTCTACAAATAATGGCTGAGTGGAAGTATTTGTGCTGAAAGGAACTATTCATAGCATCATGGGTTGGCACAGTTTCTAGTTTGACACAACTTGGCAACATTGCCTTTCGAATGGTGCAATGTACGTCAAACTTCCACAATTCATACCAATTTATGAAACACCGTGGAATTTTTTGAAATAGATATAAATTTATTTAAAATTTATTATATTCCAATCATCAGGTCTGTCCACCTCAAATTATAATAAGTTGATTTTGACTCTTATAAGTAGAATTTCGATTACATTGAAAAATTTACTAGTATCACGACCATTGGATAAATTTTAAAATTTCATTAAATTTACTGAATTTGATGAAAATTGTTAGTCGTGAGAATGCTTGATAGCGTCACAAATCACGATGAAGTTTGTCGCAATTTTGGGGGAAATCCGTGTAAATGGCCAGAGTAGATGGACATCCAAGTATTTGAGTTCCAAAAGACGGATAGATGTAAGAGAGACATACAGGCGAGCTGATGGCTATGAAACAGTCAACTCAGTGATGGTGATTATGTGTGAAATATTTGATTAAAATTTGATATGAGACAACATTGAGCCTGCTTTTCTAACTGTAACCATTTTCGTTCCAGCTTGTAGGGAGTGCGCTCACAGAAGAGACAGGAGAAAAGTTTGGCATGACAGTCGTCGAATCTCCAAACCCCATGAATTTTCCACATCCCTTTGATGAGTACGAGAATTTAGGACATTATCACTATGCGTCCGCGATTCCATATCAGGACCAAAATTCTGGAAAAAATAATCAAGGGAACACGCTCCATGCCGCACAGCCTCGTAGGAATTCCGGTCCAGCGGACTCGACCATACAAATGAAAGGGCAAGAGGTATGAGGACAGATACATTTTTTTCCAATTTTGCGCCATTTACTATTGAAACGTAAGTTGAAGTTGGGACACACAACAGATAAATTTTGGACTTCAGTTTCGTTGTGCTTCAAAGAGCTTGAAAAAGTTCAGAAAAATAATCGATCAGTCTAGAAGAGAGCACGAATTTTTTTGGACAATCCATTTCTACAACACGGTTGTAAAGAATTGAATTGCAATAAGAAACCACAGAAAATTTTTGATTGAAATTGGTTGAAAAAATCGGCCCGCCTAGTTCAGAAGTTCATTCCATTGAACGAGAAGCACATATAAGAGCAAGACCTGTTCATTAATTTACGGGTCATGCGCTAACCGGATTGCCACTTTTTTTGCAATATCTGCAACATTTTTGTCTCGATTTACAGATCGATTCCATTTTTTTCAAAATTGCGTCATTTCTTTTTTGGTTCAAAAATACTGACGCTAATGTGCAGTAGGTTATACAATTCACACGATCCTTTCAATTCAAAATTAACGATTTTTTTGTAGAAAAACAAAAATTAATTGCTAAGTAAATTTTTGTATATCAAGATAAAGCTATGCATAATTTTTAGAACATTGTAATCGCGCTGGTTTCCTCCTGATGCACACGATCCATTCATATGTTGTGGATTTTTAATCCCGGATCTTTTGAACCATCACAGAGTGGACCTAACCTAAACCTCCTCCACTGTAAAGTAAATGTGACCGTAATTGAGAGGCTTGGAGGACAAGGCGCTTAAGTGCAGTTTTTGAAAAAAATGAGACTTTTATTATTTCTAGTAAAACTAGTCTTAATGCATATTTTGTGAAAAATTCGCTCCCAATTTTTGTTTAATGGTATCCAAATGTAATCTCTGAACCGAACCAGAAATAGAGGCTCTTTGTTAAAAAATTGTATAACTACAAGCGCCTTTTCTATTTGCCCGCTCAGATGTCAAAGCAACCCTTGGACACCGTCAGGGATGATCTCGAGGTTAAGAGCCGAGAACACGCTTCAGACAGCCTCAAAAGTGGTCAAGAGAAAATCGTGGACATACCAATAGAGGGCGCTGATGAAACCCTTGACACTTTCGTGGTCGACGAAGAAAATCCCTCGACCAATCACGTTGCCACTCCGAACGTGAGACCAAATGATGTTTCTCCCAGCAACACAGCGTCACTCTCAACGCTCCTACAAGGAATCAGGGATTTGCGTCTGACCGTCGGAGAAATGGACGAGAAGTTGGATAGATTAATAGAAAAGCTAATTCCAAATAACACCAAGGGCAATCCAATGATCAGGAAAGGTGTCGCTTGGTTCAATAAATTACTACATCGTGACAGCGTGCAGGGTCCAGCCAAGGTGCAACAACACCAAACAGACTCAGCAGAAGGAAAGAACCATCAAACAATGAGATGGATGAACTACTTCCGCAGCCCGTCTTCTTAAATGTGAGGACCCTTGATTATAATTTATTGTGTGACATCATCATGGTCAAAGAAACTGAACCACCAGTTGACAGAAGTCAAATCACGAGAAAAATGGATAACTGATTTAACGATTAAATTGTTTAAAAAAATGACAGATATGTTTCAAATGTACATTTTAAAATAGTGGGAAACTAATTCAACCTCGGGCGCGGGCATGGTTAACTTGGCATTTTTTTTATTGTAAAATCTACATTGAAACATGTGTGTCACTTTTTCTAACTACAAAATTGTTAAATCAGCAATTTAATTTCTTCCGTGTGCCTATTGAGAGAGGCAATGGGACGGCTTCCTGTGTCAGAGGATTGTGTATTAATGGTTCGATCTGGAGTGAAGGGATCAAAGCCATAGGGTTTTAATGGCATTGCATGATTGCAGTGTTTGATTTGACACTTCTTTTTTGTTTAGTGAATAAAGAAAGAACTTTTGCAAATGCTCATCTAAAATTGTACGCATTTAAACGAATGAAGTCCATCAACGTGTTCGAAAATTCGATTTGATTTTTGGTTAGCTATAATCTCTGTTCCAACCATCAAAATACGATTCTGTGACATACGGAACGGTTTCAATCTTAGGCGAATTGGACCATTGATGTCAGATGCTGTGAAATCATATGATGATTATCCTTTTTTTTTTCTTTATGAGCTTCAAACAGCCATTTTCAGCCATTGTCATGCCATTCATTCTCTACACTGGATAGTATCTTACCATGTCAGAGAGTGAACAAATACGTATTCATGAAATTAGGCTGCACAGAAATTCAGCATGTATCCACAATCTTAAAAATATACATTTATCACAATTCTTATTCCTCCTCTTATCTTCCTTCGTATTCTTCTTCTTTTTCTCCTTCTTCTCTTCTTCTCGCGTCCAATTTCTTCTCGTTCTCGTCTGACAGACTATTGCTCCTCTAACGTAGGGTGTATCTCTATTTTCACACGGACCCTAGAAAATATAAAGTCATGCGGAGAACTGGAGTTACGTGGAAATTGAGATACCCACGCCTTTACGTCAGAGCAGGAGCGACTATTACGATAGCTAAAGTGCGAGACTGAGTATCTCCGTTTCCGACGTTGTAGAAGACTTCCCGTTATACTTCAGTATTTCCTTGAAAATCTAGCCGACGTAAATTCTTGAAAATTCCTTGATTTTTCTTCTCTACTAGTAGAATATTCTGTATACATTTCAAGTTTTAAAGTTAACTTGCTCCTCTTCGAAATGATAAACTCGGAAAGGAGATTTTGAAACACCGCAATTAAGATACGTGGTATCACACTATAGCCATCGATGTGTTAGAAGTCCCAAGTCCCCAAATATCATATTTCAACGGAAAAATCGCGATTTTGAAATTAAGTAGCGATTTCTTGACGATTTTTTGGCGATAAAATCGCTAGGATCATCAACATCCGAGCGATTGTGTTCAATATTGTCACAATTTTACCTCTGTGATATCGCGTTCGATAACATTGAAATTTTACCTCAATTCATAATGATTTTTTGTTCTAGATAGTATTGCGATATGTCGCCGTCGATAAAATTGCGATTTTAATGCAAATTTATGAAATGAAATCGCAATTTTGTATATGATAATTTTCAATAAATTGACGTCGATAAACCGCGATACATTCTCCCATAAAATTGCAACATGTCGCGATCACTGCCACTTAGGTACTTTAGTTTTTCCTTGGAAAACTAGGCAACGTTATTTCTGGAAATCTTCCTTGATTTTCCTCCTCTGCTAGTAGAATATTCTATATGATGTTGAATGTACCTTGTCCCCATGTCCCTTGTTTTTTACCTGTTACCATTGTCTCGGGCTGCATGTGCAAATTTGCACTATAGCCATCGATGTATTAAAAGTGTTAAGGCCCAAGCGTGTCAAACTGAAATAAAGCAGGGAAAGTCGAGCGAATTCATTGAGAAGCGGCAAGCAAGCGCAATAATCGAGATGTAAGCGCCCAATGGTGAGCCCGTCGTCGCGGTGATCGAATCATTCTGTCACATACGAGTGACAATAGTTTCTTTAAAGATATTTAATGGGCTTGGATACGATTGATGCAATTCGCGTCAAGTGCGCACTCGAGGTGAGCGTGGATGTCCAATAGCGAAACGGTCTCCAAATCACGCATAAACAATCAATATAGGTTTTTTGTCGTTTCATGAAGGATATTCAGCAGAAATGCTCGAACGGCCATTCAGGGAAAAATGTGAGACGGGATGTTGGAGTTACGACCCGTGCGTTCACCATGGTTCACCGCAATCGGTTGGTGAAAAATGTGAGCGTACCGGTGAGACTAAGTGGCAACATTGTTTTAGACACGTGCGAGAATATGACTTCTGAAAATTTAAAATCTAGTAAACGCCATCCGGAGGCGATTCTTACCAGTGGCGTGGCATGCTTTGCGATATATCGATTGTTATGCCATTTAAACCTATGGAAAAGGATCGATAAACAGGGTGTTCGCAGCGAACACCTTAATAATCGATTCTTTAGGTACCATAGATTTAAATGTCAGAACAATCGATACATCGAAATTCACGCCACGCCACTGGTCCTTACAAGTTGACACCATTGCTTTTGCTTCATTTAAATGTACATTAAACAATCGATTCAAGATTCTGCCTCGCCTAGAATCGATATATGCAATAGATTTAAATGGAGAAAAACTGTGTCGCCAACGTACTATAATCACCATTGGCGTCATCAGGTGTGCCTCTTGAAGAGAAGAAAAATCACGGCAGTTTTTAAGAACTCCCGTCAAGTAGTTTTCCATTCAAAAAATGAAGTATGACAGGAAGTCTGCAACGTCACATAGGTACAGAGATCAGTGGCGTGGCGTGCTTTGCGATATATTGATTGTTATGCCATTTACACCGATGGAAAAGGATCGGTAAACAGGGTGTTCGCAGCGGACACCTTAATAATCGATTCTTCACCATAGGTTTAAATGGCATAACAATCAATACGTCGCAATTCATGCCACGCTACTGACAGAGATACGTGGTTGCAGACTATAACACCGTCGATATGGCCTCTTGGACGTTCAATTCAGTTTTTCCTGAAATTTCAGTCTTAAAAGTAACTTTAGTACTGAACGAAATTCCCGTTAATTTGACTTTGTATTCGAGTGATTTTAGCAACAAAGTAAAGGATCAAAGATAGTTTTTAAGGGCTGAAAATAACTAATGTGCATTATTTTCCACCAAGTTCTGAGGCTAAATGTATACGTCCATGCAAAACTGTGAAAAAGAAATTCCAGTGAACGGCACGGAGCGGAGCCTCATTGTCTCGTTGCGCTGTCTGGGACCTTAATGACCACTTGACGCCATGGCTTAATGATCCACTAAGGCCAAATGTCTGTACGTCAATACTTCGATACTTTCTTTTACGGAATACGTTTTCCGTTACGTCTGGAATCATTTTTGAAATCTTGCATTTAAAATTTTGCATCTAGTTCCAGTGTCATATAGAACTAGTTTCTGTATTCCTCTGAGAGAGATTCATGAAAGTATCTCGCAGCATATATTTTTATATTAACTTTTCATTTTTTATGCGCGAGATATAAACCGGCCGATCAGGCTTGCGCGGTGAGAGGGCTGGAGATAGCATCGAAACTTCCACCGACGGTGCAACTCCCAAACGACGTATCTCATTCGCGGTGTTTCATAATCTCAGCTCTCACTCTATCTNTCAAGAAGTTGAGACCATCTAAAGTAAGAAATGCCTTAGCCCAACTTAGGCAGTTAGTGCAAAATTTGACACTGGGAAAAAAGTCGCTTAGATCTAGAGTTCAGACTCTTGAAAACATTGACAAAAAAAAATACTCTTGATTCAATCGGATTTTTGCTTAAATCAAAAGGAAATCCGCTCAAATTAGGAGGCTTGGTTCTTGATTTAAGCAAAAACCTGATTGAATCAAAAGTATTTTTTCTTTCCGATGTTTTTAAGAGTCCGGACTCTAGATCCAATGTGTTTTTTTTTCCAGTGCGAGTAATGAACACTAATTTCGAACTTATCAATTCTGGATTTTAGAAGGTTTCAACTTGTTTTAACATACTGTCCGTAAAATTTCAGGAGAAAGATACGTAACGCGTATAATGAGCACTTGAGCTCTACCCACATCCTACATCACTGCCTGAAGTGAGCAAACTTGCACTTTCTTCGATTATATAATCATCGAATAGCATTGTTTGCAGAGTGTGGATGTATCGGGCAGTGCTCATTAATGTCCGGCCTCATTTAAAACCGATCGAACAAGATTCCGGACGTCTGTTGAACATTGTAAGCGCTCATCCTCAGAGAATGTTGTTACATCACATACAATTAAACGGGTTTCATCTGAAAGAGAGCATGTCCATTCTCCAGATGATCCCCAAAATGCTCTTATTGAGATGTACATAGGCGGTTCTACGGAGGTGCCAGTGGGTGACGGGCAACCCCAAGCAAAAATTAAGTACGGTTACCGGAACCGTGAAAGAGGCTTTTGGGCAAGTAAAAACGTCGAAACAACTGGGAACGATTTTCAACGATCAATATGTTATTTTTTGATTGTTTTGTTCAAAAAAATCTTTAAAAACTTTAAATACTAAACAAGCGACACCAGACGACACCGGCGATCTTATTTGGACGTATTTCTTCCAAATGGAACTATGTGCATTAAGACATAAGCCCTGAGACCCATCAGAATTTATGCATGACAGGGCTCACGTCATAATGCGCATAGTTGCGTTTTGCAGTAGTACGTCCATAATACACGTCTAAAATAATTTTACAGCTCTGTAGCGGGCCGCCCTTGTTGACACTTCTACAGGGTTTATATAACTCTTCGTCTCACCCGCTACTGTATACAGTTACTTTTTGCCATGATCTGGGCCTGGTCTGAGGATTAATGAAGGGAATACCGAATAACAGAGAACGGCACTACGTTCTGAAAAGAACTGGCTGCAGGTCTATAGACTCGGTCCAGAAACAAAAAGTCAATACTGCCACCAACAGAGTAGCTGGCGCTAAAGGCGCTAGGGGATTCCTACCTGTACACTCGTATGAATGCACAATAAGCCAAGGAAAATGGCTTTGAAGGGTTGGAGTTTGGTCCCGCTACTCGCTTGACAGAATTTGGTGAGTAGCATCTGACTATCAACGTCGTCGCGCCACTGAGCTAATCTGCCGTGCTAAGGAAGAACGCCGTATGAGCCTTCAGACGTTGCCATATCTCCTTCGATAAATTACGAATTTACCAGGAAAATTTGTAACATTTTTCTTTAAAGCTTTCAGGCAATTTTACCCGCAATTTCATCTAAAATATCTGAAAATTTCAAGGAAAACAAGCATAAATTTTCTAAATAATACATGTTTTATCCGGAGGGATTTAGCAACTCTCAAATGTCCATACGGCATTCCTTCTCAGCGTTCTAAAGAAGAACGCCATTTGAGCCTTCAAACGTTGCCAAGTTTCTTCCAATAAATAACCGAATTTACTGGGAGAATTGTGAATATTATTTTCCAAAATTTTCAGACAATTTCGTGCGCAATTTAATCTAAAATATGTGAAAATTTCAAAGAATAATGTGCATAAATGTCGTCGTAAATACATGTTTTATCAAGGGAAATTTGGCAACTCTCAAATTTTCATACGGCGTTTTTCCTTAGCATGGTGGTAATACACTTCTGACATGAGTCTTACAGACTCCATTCCACCCCGAATAACAGAGGCTGCACTTTTACTATGAAAATACTATAGTGATTTTTGTCCTCAAGTGCGGTACCGTTTTCACTCTTTCTCCGAAATAATTCCAAGCCGAGCGAGGCGTCGAAGCGGG